TGTCCCATGGGAGGAGCAGGAATAAATAGATTTATAATAATTTAGCCAAGATCCCTGTTTTTCCCCCTAAAACAGAATCCCACAAAGGGGCAAAAAAGAAAGAGATTTATAATTATTAGTCAATTTCCATGTTTTTTCCCCTAAAAAATATCCCTGTTGATATCATCGTTCCCAGCTCCTTTATCTTTGTAATTATTTTTTAACGGAGGTGAGAACAAGAGCGTGGAAAAAATTAACCATTTTTTCTCTCTTTATGATGATGATTGTTTTTTGTAATTAATCTGTATTTTATTATTTAGTGGCAAAAAAAGACATCTGTATAGAGGGTCTGAGCTCAGAGCTGAGACCCAGGAAGGTTTAGGATTTTTTTAGCAGGATTGACCCAAAAAATAAAGGTTTTGGGGGGCACTTTTTGTGTCTTTTTTTGCTTATATAGAAAATCAATTTTGGTCACGTTTTTGGGTCAAAAAATCACAAATTTGGGTGAGTTTGTTTTTTCTCCCAGAGTCTCAAAAATTGTGGCTTTTAGAAATCAAATTTGTGGGATTTCTTAAATCAAAGATGTGATTTTTATTTTCTTGCAACTATTTAAAAAATAAGCTTTGGGGAGTTGGTCTCTGGATTTGGGTCAAAAAACACCACTGGGGGGAATTCATTCAATCTTCAACATTTGTGGCTTTTGGATGTCCTTTTGGTTGAGATTTGGGGTGTAAAACGGCAAATTTGGTCTCTCTTGCACATTTTCAGCAGTTGTGGCTTTCGGAAGTTAACTTTGGATGAGTTTTTGGATCAAAAACCATGACTTTGAGTCCTTGCAGTTTTCAAAAATGTTAGCTTTTTTTAAATCAATATTTTGTGATTTGGGGGGTCAGAAACTCCCAATTCTGCTTTTTTCTTCTGCAGATCTTAAAAACTATGGTTTTCGGACATCAACCTTGATAGATTTTTGGGGGGGTCAAAACCCTGAAATTCTGGAGTTTCCTCTCGTGTCACCATGTACAGAAGTCAATCTTGATAGATTTTTAGGTCCAAAACTGGCAATCCTGGGTGGGGGGGTTTCCCCCCGTATGACCATTTTTTGGAAGTCAGCCTTGATAGATTTTTGGGTCAAAACCTGCCATTTTGAGGTTTGGTGGGTTTTTCCTTTTTCCTTGCTCACCATTTTTGGAAGTCGATCTCAATAGATTTTTAGGTCAAAAAGCTGCAATTCTGGGGGTTTTTCTTTCCTTCCCTCGCTATTTTTTGGATGTCAATCTCAATAGACTTTTGGGTCAAGAACTTGCAGTTCTTGGGGTGGGGGGCTTTGCATTTTGGGTTTGGGAAGTCAGTCTCAGTATTTGGATCAAAAGCCTGCAGTTTGGGGTGGGGCGTGGCGTTTGCCGTTTTTGGAACTGGCTCTTGATAGACTTTTGGGTCAAAAGCCTGCCATTCTGGGGGGTTTCCCTTGCGATCTTCACTGCAGTGGGTTTTGGACACTGGCCACCACCTTTTTTGGGTCAAAACCCTGGCTTTTTGGGGCATGTTTCCTTTTTCCCTGGCAAAACGTTGGCTTTTTTCTTTCCTTCCAAACACCTGGACTCGATTTGAGAGCGCTGGCCTCAGAAAAGAATTTAAAAACCCACCAAAAAAAAAAAAAAGGATTTGAAGGGAAAAAAGGAGCAACCAGGGTCCAGGCTTGTGGCTTTGGAGTTCTTTTGTGGGGGAGGAACCAGTGGGAGAGAGAAATGGGAGAAAAGGGCACAAAAAAAAGGATCGAGCATAAAAAATCCCTCAAAAAGGGATTTTTACTTTTTTTTTGCCTTTGCAGAAATTGGAGGTTAATGTAGGGAGACAGCACCCCCCCACACCCCCCTGCCCCTTTCTCCTCCCCTCCCCCACAGCCCCCAGATGGAGGTGATGTTGGGAACAGCCGAAAGCAACCGGGATTTTGAGGTGAAAAGAGGCGATTTCGGAGCCGACGCGCGACTGTTTGTATATAAAAGAAAAAACGCTGAGAGAGAGCGCGAAGAGGTGCACTTCTTTCCTGGTGGGGGGGAATTTGGGGGGGCAGGTAGAGGTGGGAGGGTGGATTTTGTCCCCAGGGGGAGGGAATGAACTCAGGCCCGTGTGCCCACCCGGGATGCCCAGGTTGTCTGGGCGCCCCCCACCTGGACACCTGGGCTTCAATAGGGGCCTCCTGGACACCTGACTTCTCCGTGTGTGCATTTTTCTGGGCCGGGGAGGACTGGGAGCCGGGGCACCCGGGCTCTCTCCTGCTCGGGGAGGGGAGCAGGGCGTGAGGCTAGCGTATGGGGGAGGCAGACGACCCCCCCCAGCTGGAGAGAACCCAGGCATCCGGGCCTGCCCCCCCACGTCCTTGGGCTGTTGTGACAGCAGCACCGGGAAGGGCTCCGGGGGGAGGGGGCTGTGCCCCGACTTGGCCAGCCTCCCTGTCGCCTGGGGCTGGCGCCGCGGCGCCCGGCGCTGCTGGGTCCCAGCTGCAGTGATGCAACGGGGCTGCTGTTTGCTCCCGCCCGGCCTTGGCTCCCCGGCCCTGGCCCCACCCTCGGGGCCCAGGATCGAGCCCCTCTGGGCTTCAGCCTCCCCCTAGTCTCAGCCCCCAGAGAGCCCAAGTGTCCGGGCTCCCAGGCGTCCCGGCTCTAAACACCCCCTCTCCCTCCAGAGACCCCAGGCATCCTGGCTTCCAAGGCCCCTACTCTCACCCCCCAGACCCCGCTCATCTCCCATCTGGGATCCCAGCTCCCCCCCCCCACCCTGATTTCCCCCCCCAGCCCCAAATCCCCTCTCTGAGCTGAAGAGACCGCAGGCATCCAGCCAGCCGGTGCCCCTCCACCCTGGCCGGCTGGCGCGGGCGGTGGAAGGGAAGGTGTGGGCCCTGGAGCCTGTGGGTCTGGACCAGGCGCTGGCCTGGAGCCGCTGGGTCTGTCCAGGCTTCGACCTCATCTGGGACAGCAAATAAACAGCCGGTGACAGCTCTGAGCAAACAGGCCCAGAGCCAGGCCCGGCACGGCCCCAATCATGGCAGGGGCAGGGGCAGGGGCCAGCTCTGGCCCCGCAGTCCCGATCCCGGCTCAGGCCCCGGTGGCCATCACGCCAGATGCTTGTTTGCAAGGAACCCAAGGGTCCGGGTCTTCCAGCCCAAAGGCCTGCATGGGATGGAGGAGGATGCGTGGACAGAGGTGGGGGAGAACCCAGGAATCCGGGCTCCCAACCCCTCTTGTCTTCTAGACAGCCCTGCTCCTGTTGCAGAGCTGCGGGAGAGCCCAGGCATCCAGGCTCCCGGTGCCCTGCTCTTCTAACCACCCCCAGGACCCTGCTCCTCTTCCAGAGGACCCAGCCGTCTGGGGTCCTGGGGCGGGGTTAGAAATGGCTCCTTCATTGCCCCCAGTTATGCTTGTTATGGCCTAGTCCTTCCGGATCTCCCTGGGAAAACCTAACAAAGCTCGACTGCATTGGCCTTAACAACACATCTTCTTGGAGGAAGGAATTGCCAAACATCGCAAACGGATTTGGGGTGAAACGGGGTTTTGGGGGTCAGAAATCTCTGGCCAGCACTCAGTCTTCTCATTACTGAGCTGCAGCTAGTTGAGGATCAATTAACAAGGATGGAGCGATTGCCCCCACCATTGGGGGTCAGTGTTGCTCGTGCACCTGGCGGATTGGTCTCTGGCGTCTCGGAGCCTGCTGCGCTCGGGCATCGCGGGAATTGCGGATGCCTGGGGAAAGGCCCGTGTTGTGGAAGTCAGCAGCTGTCGCTAGAATGAGACTGGATTTCTGTCCCGTCCCCATGCTCGTTATGGGGTTGTTCTTACAGAGGGCTCGGGGTTAAATCACTCTTTCTCCTAGGAATCCCCAGAAAAATGTCCGGTGCGGGGGTGCGTGCGTGTGGGGGGTGTGTGTGTGTGTGTGTGTGTAGATGTTGTATGGAGAGAGTGAGTGTTGATAACTTGATAGATATAGATCTATGGGTATATAGACGTGTGTGATATACACATACCTATATCTAAAACATATATATAAAACATGTAACATAACACACACGCACATAACATAACACACGCATAACACGCAATGTATATAATACACATAGATGTAACATAACGTATATAACACAGGTATAGCGCACACGCGTAGCTATAACAGTATATAACATACCACATGTTTATATATATATATAACGTGCATATTATATAAAACACTAAAAGAATTAACATGTATAGTATTATAA